AACCTCCCAGGATCCAGTCTGGAAAGTTTCATTATCAACCCAGCCACAAAGTTAAGCAACTCAACCGCTACACAGAAGGAAATAACAGCAATCCCATCTGTTCCATAGAACCCAATTTCACAAACAAGGTCTTTCATCAAGCAACTTTAAAAGCATCAAGAGCTTCCAAGAAAATGACCACTCTCACACACTAGCTCTGGACCCCAACTCACATGTACTTCAAACCCTAGAGGGGACATTTCTGAGAAAGGACTTTCACCACCTGTCCATGCCCATCTGTGTTTTAATACATTCCAGATTGACTCTGCCATCCATGACAAAATTGTGGATGATGAATGCCCTATTAAAGGCTGTTCTGGTACTAAGCAGCAACAGTCTGAGACCATGATTGTTAAAGATCTGATGACCAGGCATTAGTGTTGAGCCTAATTCTAAGAAGGTGGAATGAAAACAATCCACTTAATAGGCTTTCTTCAAGACCAATACTTGATCTACTTCTGTTAGTCACTTTATGATACTATGGAGTCTTTAATGCCCTTGACATTGTTTTTTTTTGCTTGCAGACATTTTAATACCCAACTAGGTAACATTATCAGTATTAATGAGTATGGGATTTTCTCCCTGTTTATATATGATAGTTGCCTTTCCAATCTTGGGAAGATGTGGTTTTCTCCTTCATAGTTCTTATAAAAAATGGTTCATTAAGAGAGAATAAATGATTTATCTAACTTGTAAACACTTGTTCCCATACTTATATCTGAAAGTGGCAAAGCAGGCATCTTATGCTCTACTGTTTACACCACAATATGATAATGGAGGTATAGAATTTGAGATTGCGTCAGAGGTGGATTTCTACTGGTTCGGCCCAGTTTGCTTGAGTAGGTAGTAACTCAACCTGCTACACCCTCAAACTGGTTCTATAGGCGCCATAGACACCGCTATCTTTATTTTGCTTCTGCGCATGCATTTTTTTTACTACTGCGCCTGCGTGCCTGAAGCACGTTCCTGACCAAACCGGCAGTAGAAGAGGCCGAAATCCATCCCTGGATTGAAGTCCCTGAAAACCTGTATTGCAGGCCTTAGGATCTCTCTAAAAATGCTACTAAATAGCAATTTAAATAGAACAAGAGGAATTGATTAAATATAATCATACAAATTAGGTGCTTCTTAAGGATTCCTTTAATTAATTTCCAAGTTAAAATGAAGTATTATTGCACATTAATAATGTGTGTAAGTTCATGGCTTGACAGCTCCTTGGTACAGGACATTTCTTTAATTAGTTTTCTTATTGTGTGGAAACTCTTGAAGCAAAGCTGGCAGCAATGAGAAACAGTATCTTACAGTAAAAGTAATCTGTCGAAAATCTTGCCGAATTGAATCTTTACCATCTGTTGAACCCCAACCACTTTCTTTCAGTCTTTCAAGTAATCTTTCTAGAATTGCAAAAGAAAACCCCCATAGTGGAGTATTTGTAAAGTTTAAAGAAAACAAAGCTCAAGAGTTCAAATGTACATCCAAGTTACTTCACAAACCAAACTAGTGTGACTGACTGAAAAGACTGTTCCAACTTTCAGTCATATATTTAAAAACAAGTTGAGAGGACGTGTGCAATAGTTATTTCATGCCATTAGCAAATGTCAGATTAAGACATTTTTATCTCTAGAAACGAACTAATCAAACGGTGATAACTCTTCTGGAAATCTTTAATATAATTCCTAAAACTATGTGGAAGTTTTCACAAAAAATTCAAGTGGCTATGGCGTGGATTAGGCTTACGGTTGGGCAGGAAACCTTGATTTCAAATTCTGCCTTAGCCATGAAAGCCAGTTGTGTGGCTTTGGTCAGTCACTCTCTCTGAAACCAACCTACCTCACGGGGTGGTTGTTGCGGGGAAAATAGGAGGAAGAAGGTGTGTTGGATATTTCGCCATCTTGTTATTTGTAAAATACAAAATGAATGAATGTATGAATATCACACAATTTTTTCATTTTTTTCTCATATTTTTCTTCCTCAATTCTCCCCCCCCCCCCTTAGCCCAAATTGGAAGCAATCTCTGACTAGATATTCCACTTTCATTTTAAGCATCACCTATATTACTGGTTTTTGAATAAAGTTCTTCACAGAAGTGACTATACTTGAATGTTTAATAATAGGATTGAAGTGAGAATATAATAGAAGGGAAATGCAGAAGAGAGAAGGGTATAATTGAAGGAACAACTGCTCTACCACCTCTTCCTCTACTGTTGGTCCCAAGTCAGCTTTTACCCTAACTGTCGTCTCTTGCAATGGTTGCTTCAACGGGAAGGACTGACTTTAGCGTCCCTAACACTTTCCTGGCATCACTGCCGTTTGCATTTTTTTCTCAGTCTCCTATCTCCTGTTTATGAAGGCATGAAAGGAAGGAGAATATATTACATGTGCCTATTGAATATGGAACTTTTTTTATATCTCACAGACATCACATTTCAATAAACGTATTTGAATAGAATATAAAGTAATCCTAGCCCCTTGAATAGGGCAAACTTGTGTAACTTGCAGAAGGACACAATATTAATATTCTATTTATATTAATGTTATATTCATATTAATGACTAGGTAAATCACTTTACACAGGCTCATCTTCTCATGTCTGGAGAAAGTCATAGGAATGGTTTCCAACAGATACCTTTGGTATTGACTACCTCACAAAGTTCTGCTTATATAATTAAGCTTAACAATAATACATTGTATTTAATAGAAAGATTATTTATTGTAATAATACACTGGCTGGATTTCATAAAAATATATTTATTTCAAATTTATAAATTATTACAGAATTAAAGATAATGGGAGAAAATAGTTTACAAGTCAAAAGTCAACAATAGCTGTATTTATTAAATAAATAAGTGAGCAGACAGTATTGTAGAGAAGAGAATTTAGAAAACTGAAAAACAACCTGAGTTTTAAAATGTGGCTCATAAGAGAGGGATCTAGGCAATGAATATTATGCATTTTTCTCATAATAATACCTATAATATCCATTTACAACATCTTATAGTAATTGGGGTAATTTGGGCATTCTTCATAATTTTAACACATTTTTTTTCAAAATATATTATCTCATATAGCTTGGCTGAATTAAAAATCCTTGCATTTCTTGAATATAGGTAGTGTTGATGGCCTTGCATTTGTATTTATTTCTTCAAAAAGAACATTCCTCGCACTCATTCAGTTCTTCAAGGTCATTGAACAGCTAAGTTCCATGGTCATAAATTATTGTAATTCACTATGATATTAAATAACAAGTGAATAGCGCTATAAAACATGGTACCTTGTTACACCTGCTATTCTCAAAAAAAGAGTGTACTGCTGTATTTCACTTACCAGTGTTCCTGGCTTATACTTATGCAGTTTTAACAAACAATCTGTGGGATAAGTTATATTCATGATGCATTGTTGAAATTTAAGTCTGTTCAACTAATTTCCTTTCAAAGGCGCACAGGTGAAACTCAAAAAATTAGAATATTGTGCAAAAGTTCATTTATTTCAGTAATGCAACTTAAAAGGTAAAACTAATATATGAGATAGACTCATTACATGCAAAGCAAGATAGTTCAAGCCATGATTTGTCATAATTGTGATGATTATGGCTTACCGGTTATGAAAACCCCAAATCCACAACCTCAGAAAATTAGAATATTACATGCAATCAATGAAACAAGGGTTGTACATAGAACAATATCGGACCTCTGAAAAGTATAAGCATGCATATGTACTCAGTACTTGGTTTGGGCTCCTTTTGCAGCAATTACTGCCTCAATGCGGCGTGGCATGGAAGCTATCAGCCTGTGGCACTGCTGAGGTGTTATGGAAGACCAGGATGCTTCAATAGCTGCTTTCAGCTCTTCTGCATTGTTCGGTCTCATGTCTCTCATCTTTCTCTTGGCAATGCTTCATAGATTCTCTATGGGGTTCACGTCAGGCGACTTTGCTGGCCAATCAAGCACAGTAATCCCATGGATTAGTGAACCAAGTTTTGGTGCTTTTGGCAGTGTGGACAGGTGCCAAGTCCTGCTGGAAAATGAAGTCAGCATCCCCATAAAGCTCACATGCGGAAGAAAGCATGAAGTGCTCCAAAATCTCCTAGTAGACAGCTACGTTGACCCTGGACTTAATGAAGCACAGTTGACCAATGCTAGCAGATGACATGGCCCCCCCAATCAACATAGACTGTGGAAACTTCACACTAGACTTCAAGCATCTTGCAGTGTGTGCCTCTCCATTCTTCCTCCATACTTTGGGTCCTTGGCTTCCAAATGAGATGCAAAAGTTGCTCTTTGGACCACTGAGCAACAGACCAGGTCTGTTTTTCTTTAGCCCAGGTAAGACGCTTCTGATGTTTGTTGTTCAGGAGCAGATTGACAAAAGGAATACGACATTTGAAGCCCATGTCCAGGATCCGCCTGTGTGTGGTGGCTCTTAATGCACTGATTCCAGCCTCAGTCCACTCCTTGTGAAAGTCCGCAACACTTTTGAATGGCCTTTTCCTGACAATCCTCTCCAGGCTGCGGTCATCCCTGCTGCTTGTGCATCTTTTTCTTCCACACTTTTCCCTTCCACATAACTTTCTATTAATATGCTTTGATACAGCACTTTGGGAACATCCAATTTCTTTTGCAATTACCTTTTGAGGCTTTTCCTTCTTATGGAGGATGTCAATGATGATTTTCTGCACAACTATCAGGTCAGCAGTCTTTCCCATGTTTGTGATTCCTACTGAACCACTGAGACTGAGAGACCATTTAAACGCCCAGGAACCCTTTGCAGGTGTTATGGCTTAATTAGCTGATTAGATTGGGACACTTTGAGCCTAGAATATTGCACCTTTTCACAATATTCTAATTTTCTGAGATTGTGGATTTGGGGTTTTCATGGCGCTGTAAGCCATAATCATCACAATTATGACAAATCACGGCTTGAACTATCTTGCTTTGCATGTAATGGGTCTATCTCATATATTAGTTTCACCTTTTAAGTTGCATGACTGAAACAAATGAACTTTTGCACGATATTCTAAGTATCTCCTGATAAAACATCATAGTTGCAGATTCTGTTCTAAAGCACACAGAAGGAATTTTAACTATATGCACAGATGTTATAAGGGAAAGAGAAAAAAAATCAAAAAATGCAAAATGACTCTTCTTTCAGAAGTCTGTATTAAAATATAATATTAATATGCTGTTATTAATATTAATGTACAATAATATATAGTTCTTAGCTGTGGCAGGGTAAGGTCAAACAGACATTTGCCAAGTGTTCAGAACAAGGCACAGTGGAAACTAGTCATCTGTGCTGCTTTATACCTGGCTCTCAATGCCTCATTGAGAAGAAGTATTCAGAACAAGGAATTTCAGTCTGGAAAAGGATAAAAGGAATATCACTGCCTAGTTTATCATTCTAGGACAAGACACTGACCTTAGCAGACTGTGTGGGAGGAACCTGTAAGCAAGGAATGGCAGACTGGTACTGGCTGGTAGATAAACAGGTAAACAAATGAGCTTGGTTTTGGAGCCATGGCCTCACCATCACCTGAAATGATCAGATCAACCAGTCTAATGGCAAGGCCCATCCTGGCCCTTCACATCATTCTATGCAACTATAAAAAGTAATAAATTAGCAGATGGCCACAAAATGCCTGTGGTGGTGATTTTCTGTTACACATTCCAGAAATAACTTTCATGGCATATACGTTGCATGGTATCTTTATATTCAGATGAATTAAATAGCTTCAAAGATGAAAGGCAACACTGTGAAGTAAAGACGTGTCCTTGAATTTTGTGCAACATAACTCTTAATACTGACAAAAGTAGACAGTCCATCTGTAATTTGATACCTAGTTCACTTAACTGGAGCAATTCCATCTCAGGTTTGTTGAGAGTCAGTGGATCTAAATTAAAGAGAGAAAAGAGAAAAATAAAAAAGACCTTGAGAATATCCACAAGTAAACTGAGAGGGAGAAGCTTCTATTATTTCTTCATGCAAAAACTTGCATTCCTCTACGCTAAAATCTTCCTATTCCTCTGAATCATACTTTGGCTATCGAAACAGAAAGAATAATGGGTGCTTAATTTCTACTATTGTGTAACTGGAATAGAGACAACTGGTTACAAAGTCACTTTTGCTTCACCACAAGTGACAGAATTAGGGTACTTTAGTCCTAAAAGACTTACAGCCACACTTCTAAACAGTTTTACAATTAGTGTGAATTATGTTCCTTTTCCTTTCTCATATGCACACATGAAAATAGCAGTTTATTGTTCATATGTTCCACTTCAAGGAATTGTTCTAGTTTAATTCAAGTTAAACTGTGCATATTACTGCATTTAAAATATAATGTATTTAATTTGCTTCATTAAATGTATATTCACCTTAGCAAAACTTATTTGAAACTAAATAGGAAATTATTGGGAGATGCACTTAACTGGGCTCTAGTATTCTTTCTTCATAACAAAATAAGCCATTTTCCCAGTGAAAAATATGGTCCTAAAGCTACAGAACATTTATTCAGAAGAGAAATGTTAAGGAATACTCAGAATACTTTCTTTTCTATGAGAACTAGCACCTAGGAGTTGGATTTGCATTAGGAAAAGATTACTATCATCCAATAAAGAAAAATATTTGTAGCTGAGAGTTAAAATGAGGGGTCCTTGGAGCTTTCTGAGTTTGGTTCCTTTCTTGCAGATATTTCATTGCCCAAACAAGGTAACCTCATCAGCTCATATGTTATTATTAATCTCATTACTATTATCAATATAATCAGTATATAATCCTGATTACTATCATCATCATCATCAACAACAACAACAACACACAGACACACACACACACCAAGATCCTGCAATACAGTGGCACATTGGGTCAACTCTATGCTGTTATATATAAAGAATGCAAATGTAAATATATACATATATTCAGACTCCCATTTTGAATGTCCTAACTAAGGAGTAGGTCTCATTGAAATCAAGCTGACATGTATCTCTCAGAAAATATTATGTTAATAATTACAAAATTTGATTCTAAATTGTTTTGTGTTATGCAATACAAAATATATTTCAATTCAAGATATTCAAGTCATCTAAATAATCGACTGTGGAAAGACATGTGGAAATAAATTGGTGAGTTTTTAAATTGTTGGTAGCAATAGGAGTCAGAGATGCTTTTCAAATTCAGTCCTATAGCGTCGGTAGATGTGACAAAAAGTAGATGTAAAAAAGGTGGAGAGATGGATTCTATACTTGTAAAAAGACAGATTACTGTATATAACTGTATCCTAGTCAGTACATAGAAACAGAATCCCATATATCACACATATGAAGATATCGTTTGCACTAAGCATATGATAAAGAACATGTAAATATCCTCTTTTAATAATCTGTCCAAGCATGATTTCAGCAATGTTGGAGAAATTGTGGAATGGTTATTTCAAATGTCATTCAAATCATGTATTCAAAGAAGTGAATGAAGTAGCTACACTTGACTTCCTATGCAATTGTTCTACTGTTCCCAAACCACTACCTCCCAGAATAAATATAATGTCAGAAAGAGTAGAATATGAATTTGGGGGAAAATCATGTCAATACACCATGCTGGAATTGTTGCTTCACTTCAGGATCATTTCCGGAGTTTGGGAGTAAAGAAACCTGGACCTGATAAATACCATTAATGGCTTATTTGATCAACAGAATACATAATTCAGTGTTTCATGCACAGTGTTCATTTTAATAACCAAAATTAAATATGTATTAAAATATGAAACGTTGATGCTGACTTAAAAATGAATTATTTTATTACAAACTATTTCCCTATCTTTCCAACTCTAGGAATGAAGCAATGGAGAAATAGTGCAAACATAAAAGGCAACAAAACAAATACTCAATTTTCCAATAATTGTTAGCAGTTCTAGTTCTATAATGATTCTATTCTGATGGCTCATCTTAGTTGATGATTTTTCACAATGTATTTCATGGCTTCCATCCCTACATGAGACTTTATTACTATCACATAGGAATAAAAAGCCATAAAACACTAGAGTGAATTTATCTTGATCAGATGCCATACTGATTTTCTTCACATGATTTCACAATCATTTCCAAACTAACTGAGAATTTCATGCTACATTATTCAACATTTGAAAACTATATTGAAGTTGTTTAAAAAGCGCTCTGTCACAAATTAACAGCAATTTAGGCTTCAGAGAGATTGCTAACTGAACAGATAGGGGACAGTCACCACACACAACAACTGAATTCACTGAATAGACAGGACACCACAAAAAATAGCACTAGAACAGACATACAAAAGACAAAACAACTACAAACATATTCTTGGGAACTTGTAAGCATCCTCAACTCTTTCCTGTTTAGTTTCCTTAAATGGACACTGCAAACAACTCAAACTTTTGAGTCAGAGGGTGCTACTCAGACAACAGTCCTATAGATACACTAAAAAGGCTTTACTAAATGTGGAGCTCTACAAATGTCTTTTGTCTATGATTTCCAAATTGTCAAGTCAGTATAACCAATGGTCTTGCTGGCTCAAATTTCACACACTTGGAATCAAAAAAGCTAAATTAAAGCACTTCTGATTTACAGAGAGCTGAAAATGCTGAGATGAAAATATATTACCTTCAAACATACCACATGGCACCTTCATCTATATCCAAATCCATGAAAATTCTACCAATTCTACCTACCTATCCTGCTGGACAATAAAGAAATAAAGCATTGTTTTCAAAATCAAGCTATGACTTCATAAATTCTGAAATAAAGTACTTCAAAGAATCAATTACTATGTGTTTTTCCTGCTAATAGTCCAATGACATAGGTATGTATGGTTATTGAAAAGGTCTTACGTTCAATATCTTTGGAAATAATTTTCTTTATACCTTTCTATACAGCATGTGCTAAAGAATATCAAAAATGCTTCAAAGAGTCTGTAATACTCTTAAGTAAAATAACTGATACTAACCTTAGCAAAGAAATTATCTTGTTACTTGTTGTTAATAATCACAATGGAAAATCTACTCCATTTATTGTTTTCTTACTCTTCTCTGGCTGCCTATCAAATCTATTTCTTGTCTAGCCCAATATGGTTAATACAAGTGAGAACAGGAAATTTATAAATGAAAGGTAGTGCATAAATAAATTAAATTATCATGCATAAAACATGCAAATGATTTAAAGACTGCATATGAAACCTTATTTCGTTTTCATTCAATTGCATTTTGGCAGGACAAATAGTCACTGATTAGGTCCAGATTAATGCACTCCCAAAAATGTTCAATATGTTTTAAAGATGGACAAAGACTTCATCTTTCTGTATATGTTTTAATTTTGTTTGGGATTCTAAACTACAAACTTACTGCACAAACTTACTGCACTAACTGCTAGATGCTCTCCAAGGTTCCTGCCATTTTGCTCTCCAAAATCCTACTGTTTTACAATTCTATGATGTTTTAAAAGCAGAAATTCTTTAGCAACTGCTGAATTACTAATTCAGTAGAGCAATGGCATTAGATACAAGGAACTACTGTATAGTTACACAAGGGAAGGTCCATAATTTTTTCATCCTTGTTTTATGGGATAAAGGTTAAAAAAGATAAAGGTTTCACCTGTTTACTTATGTCTTACTCTAGGAGACAGTGTTCATCTCCGTTTCTTAGCTGAGGGAGCCAGTCTGAAGATGCTTCTATGGTCATATGGCCAACATGACTATACCCTAAGGCACATGGAAGGCTGTTACCTTCCCACCAAAATGGTACTTATTCATCTAGTTGCATTTGCATGCTTTCCAAACTGCTAGATGGACAGAAGCTGAATGAGGAACATTTATTCCTGATAAGCCAATTATTTATGATATTGGATTATATTATGGTTGTTCTTGTAATGTTCTAAAATATTGTTTTTATTTCATTTTAGCACTTTATGCAGTTTATGAAAGTTAACCCACTGTTAGATCTATGTTAATGGTACTATTTTTAAAAAATATCAAATCATATTATACAATATAATGTCATAAGATTCATAAAAAATCTCAGGAAGCAAATTTAATTCAAGTATTTCTAAATTCATGAACTTCAATAAAGAGACTTAAGCTCATTTTAAACATTTTCATGGAAATCAGCAGGAAAAGAACTCAGTGTTCTCATTCCAGCTTGGGCTTCCTTCTTCTAAAGATTAATCCTAGGTTGGCATGGTGATATTACATGGCTTAGATAGATTCAAGAAACTTTTTTTTTAACTTCAGCAAGAGAAGGAAAAGAGGTAACTTTTGTGGGTTTTTGTACTTCAGTTCAGCCAAACAAAATCCGATTCCAAAATTGGATTCTAGCCAATTCAATTGTTTTATTCTTGGGGTCAACTTGAGAAATATAGCCCCTGGGTTAAAGTTTTATTTCAATACTTTTACGTTGTAATATCAGGCTTTTATAAGGGTAGGAAGGAAATTATTTATCTCAACTGCAGCCTGAAATGAAAAGGACACAAAGACTTATAGGACACTAAACATAAAAAGTAGCTTTATTTATTTATTAAGGAGGAATAGGCTGCATATTTTACACACACAAAAAAATCTTCCAAATAGGATGTCAAAAAGCTTGCTCTGGTTATCTAGACAAAAATAAATCATTTGTTTGTGTGTTTGGGGGGTGGGGGAGAGAATCAGTGAAATTTTCTGGCTTCACTGAAAACTGATTTAATATATTGCCAGGTATGTCATTTACATGTCCTTACTACACATGTATTAAAAATTAAAATTCAGTCTCAAAGCTCAACTTTTATGCACTTGTATATTTCACTTGTTTTAGGGAAACTTGAAACTGTAATATATCTCTAAGCCTCCTTTTGAAAAATGTAGTCTGTAAATGACACAAACATTACCACAAAGAAGCAAAGACATGTACAAAGAGACATACACACATTCACATAGGCACACACATTTATTAAGTCTCTCACTCTTTGAGCCTTCTGAGGGCTACTTGTGCACATTTGCATATATTAAATTAGTTGCCATAAAACAGCATAAGGATGATATCTCCCTGTCAACACAGTGACAAATGTTCTGACAGCCTTTTAGACTAGAAATATGCTGGTGTAAATATGCTTAAATTCTTAGCTCCTAAAAGAGAAAGCTATTGTCAGATTTCAATTCCACAAGTAACCTCTAAGAATATTCACCTTGTGAGACCATTTCTGAAACAGATCTTTGGTACTTTACAGAAGTATCCACAGTATCTATGTGCCTTTTCTCATTTTCTCCTTTGTGAGTAATTCTCTCATCATACAGGAGCCTGGCAATTTCCTTAAAACTTCTTTTTAGGTGTGGCAGAGTCTGGAGTGGATCTTTTGTTTCAGGAAAATATCACTGAAGCTGTGAGAGAGAGAGAGAGAGAGAGAGAGAGAGAGAGAGAGAGAAATCTGTGATAAAGTGAACTTTCTAAGTCTGTATGTAAACATATTTTAGACCGCTATATATTGCTGATGGATGGAAACACTGTTTACCTTGGAAATAATAGTCTTTTCTTCTTCAAATCATCATTCAGACCTGAATGTCATCCAGAAGTGATTTCTGCCTTCTTCAACTTATCCAGCATCTGGGGCCATGAGATAACTTTCATGGCACTGGCTCTTTTACTCACTCCTTCATTATTAGCCTCCTAGTGAGCAAGACAGAATACAATGAATGTAATAACCAATATTTCACACAACAGGCCCTCTCTCGCTTTTAAATTGAAAATCTCCTTATTACAAAACAAGGGGTGTTCTTTTTCTTCTATCTTCAGATAGGTCTGCCACATTCAAAGGATTTTACAAAAACGCAGCTGCTTTTTAAACTAGAGAGAAATTGCATCCACTAGACAGTAATTCTTCTTAGTCTGAATTGTATTGTTTTCTAAGTAGTTGGTCAGGGATTTTCTCTGCTAATGTATGTGTACTGGTGTGTGGAAAAAAACAGAAATATACACATATGCAGCATATCAATGGATTTGGCTATCCTTGTGCTTTACATAGTAAATGGCTGGAAATTGAAACGATATCAGAAACTGCAAATAATTAATAATTCTTCAAAATTTTTGAGGGTTTTAAAAATCTTTCTCTCTCTCTCTCTCTCTCTCTCTCTCTCTC